GTTTCTGCCGGGCTCCCGCCCACTGCGGGCCCGGGGGAGCCGGAGGCGGCAGCGCACAGCTCCCTGGAGCGCGCGCCGGCCATCTGCGGCCCGCGCCCCGACTGGCGGCGTCGGCCGCCGCCGAGCCAGTCGCTGGAGCCGCGGCGCCGACACTGGCCGACGGCTGACGTCAGCAGGCCGCCAGCTGACTCAGCCGGGCCCGGCTCGCCGGCCGGCCGCCGGCCGCCGGCCGCCGCGGCGACGCCCCGATTCGGCAGGCGAGCGACGGCGGCCGGCGCCGCGAGCGACGGCCGCCGGCGCCGCCAGCCACCGCCGCCAGCCAGGTGTAAGCCATCAGCGCGCGCCGGAATAGCTGGACGCCCTGCCCCATGGGCTCATTATTTCACGCCACACCGCGGGGTGGACGCTCAATCTGGTCACCATTTGGGGACGGCCGGCGGCCTGCACAACTTACGACCTCAATCTCAGCCCCGCGGCCACGCGGTCCAACAGCCATGACCGGCGCGGTCCAACAGCCATGACCGACGGTGACATGAAGGTCAACGCCCGCTCCGACACTTGGCAAGGTTAGGCATCCAACTATGAATGGACAAGATGCATTCTAGAAGTTCGACATTCCCAATCTTTGGCAGAATTCCCGGGCTTGGTGTCATCGGTGACCTACATACCTCTCATGACCGACGCGCCTTTTCGGTGAATCACTGTACGTAACGTCCAGGGTTCCTGCATTACATTTGCAGAGCTTACGAGCAAATATCGAATGTACAGTCCCTACCGTTAGTGTGCGCAGTAGTGTAACAGTCCTGCCCTCCAGCGGAGTTGGATTGATTTGACTGGTGATTTTCGGGTGTACCAACTCCAAAGATCATTTCACACTTCATCTGTACTGAGTCTATACGATCGCCCAACTAATACGTACATTGAAAGAGCGGGAATCCAGTCCGTAGAGGTGTTTGAACCTGAGACCGCCGCATATCAATACTTGAAGTCCAGCATCACATAACACGCAAGTACATCGTCAACATCAGACTTCCAACGGTCCCCTTGCTAGCGACGCCAAAACTCTAAACTGTCAAAAGTGGCGTACCCTCTCATCGCCGAGGGAGCTGCAGTCCACTCAGAGGTGGATAACAGTCGGTGAGCTATTGCAGCATCCACAGGCCGGTGCCTCCACCTGGCTCTCCAGGTAGAAAGCGCGGGTGTATCAGGTACACCCGGTGCGAAGGGCAAAAATAAATACCTCCTGCTTCCGGACCTTCCCCGAGGAAGAGTGCAGTAGAGGCTTGATAAGTTTTCAGCTGATTTCCTCAGCTCTGCTGATCTTACGCCGCGTGGATACGGCGGCCTGCCGCGACAGTCGGGCCACTAGCGTGGATGTGGCGGTCTGCCGCGACAGTCGGGCCACTAGCGTGGATACGGCGGCTTGCCGCAACAGTCGGGCCACTAGTGTGGATACGGCGGTCTGCCACAACAGTCGGGCCACTAGCATGGATACGGCGGCCTGCCGCAACAGTCGGGCCACTAGCGTGGATACGGCGGTCTGCCGCGACAGTCGGGCCACTAGCGTGGATACGGCGGTCTGCCGCAACACTCAGGCCACTAGCGTGGATACGGCGGTCTGCCGCAACAGTCGGACCACTAGCGTGGATACGGCGGTCTGCCGCAACACTCAGGCCACTAGCGTGGATACGGCGGTCTGCCGCGACAGTCCGGCCACTAGCGTGGATGCGGCGGTCTGCCGCAGCAGTCCGGCCACTAGCGTGGATGTGGCGGTCTGCCGCAAAAGTCAGGCCACTAGCGTGCGCCTTTTCAACGTCCGATGATGACATCTGGCTTTATGGGCGCTCCGACTGCAGCGGTCATTTTGCCGCTTCATCGTCCCGTAGTGTAACGTGCTGGTTAGCAACCGCTGCCAGCCGCATGGCACAGCCTTCTGATCGGCAACAGCTCACGGATCGCTTACCTCGGGTCATATGCTGAGCGGCGCACGTCGTCACACAACCCCTTGTGACGCACTGGCGACTACACTGGTCACATCAGCGCCCGAGGCCATCGCGCCAGTCGGGCATCGAAGCCGCAGGTGCCGCGTGACAGGCGAACACGCCTCCGACCGAGCCGTGTCTGCACGCGAAGTGCACCGCCCCGGCGCGAGACGTGGGGCGGCCCCTGATCTGTCTGACGACGCGCCGCTTTACCGCTGCAGCGCCGAGCGGCCGACCTGCGCGGCCCGCCGCCAGATATCCTCAAACATCACGCCACAACAATCCTCCCAAATAAGGACCCATCCAACCGGAACCGCCGAACGATTTTTGCTCCCACCGCGGAGCCATCGACAAAGGCAGCGAGGCCTTTTTCTTCCGTGAGTTAAATATGCCGTTTCCTTCATGGCGAAGACAAATAAGGCCGCGGCTGCATCTATCACGCAGACATGAGGACGAATGATGTCTGCAACTGGCGTTGGGCAGCACATTCCGCTTGGCACATGCATTGTCAAGCGTACGTCGGTGCATGCGGAGCGTAGCCAGCAGCTTACCATTCAGCATCTCCGAGCCACACACAGCCCATTGGCCGTACGGCTGCCAGCACCACCGACCTCTGCAGTTGGCCGCCCGGGCCAACGGCCAGCGGCTCGGCCGGTTACCCAGCGACCGGGTCGGTCGCCCAGGGGCCCAGCCGGTCGCCCAGCGGCCAGGCCGGTTACCCAGCGGCTCGGCCGGTTACCCAGCGACCCGGCCGGTTACCCAGCGGCCGGGCCGGTCGCCCAGCGGCCCCGCCGGTCGCCCAGCGGCCCAGCCGGTCGCCCAGCGGCCGGGCTGGCGCCCGGAGCGTCACGGAAGCTCAGGTGAGGGCGGCACCACGGGCGCGGGGTCCGGGACGGTCACTGCAGGCAGCGGTGACGTCACCGATGCCGGCACCCCGCCCCCGCGGCGGCGGTACGCCAGCTCCGCACCGCACACACGGGCAGGCCCGCCCGTCCTCAATGGCCACCAATGCCCCCTGTACGCTCGTAACTGTGACGCGATGGGAGTCCCTCCGATGGAATTCAGTTGGATGGTGTGGTCGGCAAATGCCGGCTTGCCTTACTATTCTGATCCAAGCACGCTTCATTTCCCCGCAGGTCCCGGCCTCGGATGTCCGTGCACGAAGGGAACACATTCCAACGGTGCATACACGGCGCACCACCGACCCCACGCCCCGTGTGCTTCCTCCCCCCCCCCCCCCGTCTTACATCCAAGCGGGCGCGACGAACAGTCCCACAGGGCTGTAATCATTCATTGCAACTGCATTCCTCATCGACTTGACGTGCTGGGCTGCTCGGGCAGGTGGCCCCTCCAACTCTCACATATATCGCCACGTTCGCTGAGAGCCAGCGAGATTTGGAGCGCTCGATATTGGATTGTCGAGCCTTTAATCGTGCGCGTAGAGCGCAAACATAAAGCCACTCATGCGACCGTCTCAAGCACCCAGTACTCGGTTTGAATCATTGTTGAGCGGTGCCGCGGAGCCGCCCCACCATACCGGCGGCCGGCGCGGCCCTGACAGCTGCAGGCCCGGCCCGGTCCTCACGCTGAGGAGCCGCCCCACCACACCGGCGGCCGGCGCGGCCCGGACAGCGGCAGGCCCGGCCCGGTCCTCGCGCTGAGGAGTCGCCCCACCACACCAGCGGCCGGCGCGGCCCGGACAGCGGCAGGCCCGGCCCGGTCCTCGCGCTGAGAGGCCGGGTGGGCTGCGCCGGTCACCCTGTGCTCACGCGTGTGTCCCGCCTGCCAACTGCAGTAGACAGACAAGTGCGGGATGGCGAGTGGCGCGTACTATGTGGACGTGCGGCGGTTCATTCCGAACAAGACGGCGCTGGCGGTGATGCTGCTCAGCCGGTCGCGAATGGGAAGCCAGGAAGATCCGGGCAGGACCGCAGTCATGGCCGTGCTTCCAGGCCGGCACCTCGCCAAGTCAGCGCTTAGCTGACGAGCTGACGCGGGCGTGGCGCTCTGCAGAAAACCCGTGCAATCTGGCGCTTAACGTGCTCGCATTCAAGAATACGCGAGACATCGTTGAGAACGGCTGTTCGCAGCGGCCTGGCGGTCCGGCCGTGTGCGTCGAGCGGCGGACGACGGACACGAGAGCCTGGCAGGGCGCAGTCAGCGGCCAGCCGGAGCGGCCGGGGCCCAGCTGCCTGGACGGCCCAGGTCGGTGCGGACCGCACGGCGCGCTCGGTCGCCGCCGACACCAGACCGGCCGCAGACGTCACCAGCTTCGCCCCGCGCCGTCACGAGCAGCCGCGTTCACTCGCACTGCGCTCACTCCTCCCAGGAACCAACCTCCAGCAGAGGCACCGACCTTCAGCACCGCCCCACAGCGAGCATCGTCTCAGCGTCATCAGGCGGCGGTGTGTGACAGGAAACCATTCTCGACAGCAGCAAAGCCGTTGGCTGCCGTGGGCTAAATACAAATAACGCCTTTTTCACCTGAGCGAGGTTTTTTCGAGCTGGTAAGATCTCGCGCAGCATCCACGCAAAAGTCCACCCGCCTCCACCCGAGCCAAGGAGCTTTTACATTGAGTCGCTGCCGATGACATAAGCAAATGTGATGTGATGAACTACGCAAATGCGCATATGACACACCCGCCCGCAGACCCCGGCAGCACCGTCGCGGAAGCCAACGGTCATGGGTCGCGACAGCCCGGAAGCCAAGGCTTGACATACAGCCACCGCCATAGCAGAACCGACTGTCCGAGACGGCGGACGGCTGCAGCCCCCGCACACTTAACACCGCCACAGCAGAACCGACTGTCCGAGACGGCGGACGGCTGCAGCTCCCCGCACACTTAACACCGCCACAGCAGAACCGACTGTCCGAGGCGGCGGACGGCTGCAGCTTCCCGCACACTTAACACCGCCATAGCAGAACCGACTGTCCGAGACGGCGGACGGCTGCAGCTCCCCGCACACTAAACAGGGCACCGCGGACCGAGCGTCGGCGTCATGGCGCCGTCTACTCACCATCTGATCGGCCAGCAGCAGCACCGTCTTCAGTGAGAACTTCCTTGAACAGAAGGTGAAGAGGTCCTCTAGACTGGGACCCAGCAGCTCCATCACCATGACGTTGTAGTCGCCTTCAGTGCCGTACCATTTTACTACCGGGATCCCGACTGGGGGCGCAGGCGGCGGAGTCAGCTGGTGAGGGCGCCGGGCTGAACAAGCCCACCCTCTCTCCTGTCACCTTCACCCCAACCCGAATAACGAGCCAGCCAGACACGAGACGGCCGCTCCATCCGGAAATGTGACCTTATGCGTCTGATGAGGTCAGACACATGCTACGGGCTACATCCATGTACATATACATATATATATATATATATATATATATATATATATATATATATATATATATAATACAGACCACTCGAGAAGCGTCAGCCCAGGTGACTGTCGGAGGCGATTCTGTACCGTTGAAGACGTGCAGCACTGCTGCGTGTAAAGGAGACCTCCCCCCCCCCCCCCCCCACCCCCGCCGATTTGGCCCAACTATTCGCTGTATTCAGTGACCGGCTCACGAAGGGGCTGGTCCGAATATGGTATATGCTGACGCGGAATCATACCCGGACGGAGCACAAGCCTGGCGCTGAAGTCCGTCACACTGCTCTGCCTTCGGGATCTGGCGGGGCCCGCGCGCGCGCTTCCGCGCAGCACAAGACCCCAGCGCAACTCACCTCCACCTAGAAGCATCTTGTAAAATCTAGATTCGATGTAAAGCTGAGGATGTTTCGTTCGAAGGCTTTCTAACTTGATGGCCACCTCCTCCCCAGTCGATATATTTGTACCTGGAACGCGGAGCCATTAAGCAGAAGGAACGAAGTGAAGCATCAGACATGACCCGGTATTGAATTTGCCACCTACACATGTGCGATGAATGGACTCGGGCGCACGCAAACTGTCATCAAACCCGAGCAGTTCTGGGGATCGCATCCGCCAGCTATACTTATAGACTAGCGACAGTCAGGTACAGTGACCCTGGCGTCGGCTGGAATACGTCGCAATCCGCGAGTTCATCGGAACACATCCCTCCCCCCCCCCCCCCCGCCACCTCTGGAACTACTGGACCGGGCTCGCCGCGTCAATCTGCAATCGGCGGCTCTGCATATCACGCCCGAAATCGCTTTTTCATGGTCTGAAGCACCGATGACGTCACAGTTCAAGACAAATTAAAACATGTCAAATTTGCAGCTGCTATAAACAAAAGCGAATTAAATGGCTAAGCTCATCCTCTGGTTCAAACAAATCCCAAAGACGAGACAATATTTTTTCGCCGAGTGTCCCTTTACGGACCGCACAACGAAATGCCCTTGTGGTCTGCCAGTGTAGTTCTGAAAGAGCTAAACGGTGGGACGTATTGCCTTGTATTCCTTCCGTCTCATTTCACTGAGGGATGAGCGCAGGCCATTATTTACATCACAATAGCCCTTATCACGCTGCAAAGACAGTAAGCGACGCCTCAATCTGCAGGCCAATTATTGGTATATATAGGGCTAGTCTGAGTCCGAACTAGTGATGTTTGCATTGGGCTGCTGGCTAGCTAGGCCACAGCAGTCCAGTGCGCTGGGAGAACTACAACTACTTCGCCGCGGTCCGGCGCCAACGTAAAGTGAAGCCAGTGTGAGAATATTCACAGTTTGCGCACAGACCGCAACGCTGCAGATTTCTCGGGGTTTACACAGAGCTAATGAGGTACCTGCCGCCCGCGACCGGCTGTCCAGTGGACGCCCGGTCCCCACTGGCCACGGCACGAGCGGGCCGGGCTGTCGTCCGGCTACTCAGCTCTGGCCGGCTTCCCAGCGGCCTCGAACAGACCAGTGACGTCACCGCCAGCCCAGTCCCGACCGGCCACGGCACGGGCGGCCCGTGCTGCCGTCCGGTTACTCAGCTCTCGCCGGCTTCCCAGCGGCCTCAGACAGATCAGTGACGTCACCGCCAGCCCGGTCCCCGCTGGCCACGGCACGAGCGGGCCGGGCTGTCGTCCCGCTACTCAGCTCAGGTCGGCTTCCCAGCGGCCTCAGACAGACCAATGACGTCACCACCAGCCCGGTCCCGACTGGCCATGGTACGAGCGGGCCGGGCTGCCGTCCGGTTACTCAGCTCCGGCCGGCTTCCCAGCGGCCTCAGACAGATCAGTGATGTCACTGCCAGCCCGTCAGGAGCGGCGTCGTCACTGGTCTGTTCATACAGTGCTCAGACAATGCGTTGATTGCTACGACAGTGAGCGTCGAAATTGACTTTTATGAGAAAGACGGACATAATTTCAAGGACCTAAGTTATCAATTAGACATCACTTTAGACCACTGTCATTGCCCTCGTATCATCTTAGATGCCTTTATAGATATAATTTTAAGAACTTCTTCGTTGTACGCTCCAGTTACTTCACTGTTTTCCCAGCCTGGTATACTGACCGCGCCCCATCAGCGCCATGACCACTCGGGGTCAATGGGGTCACTGAAACCAGTGCTGAATGATGCGACCTGTGCTCACGGGGCTTGGACTGATCCTCATCGCAAGTGCGGTGATATTTATCAGTACCTACTAGTACAACAACGTCGTCAGACACAACCAAGGCAATGCGATTTGGTTTTATGCATGCTGACTTGGCCGTTTCAATGAGAGATGACGCTATCCTCAAAAGCAAGTCGGGTGGCAGGATGGTCAGTAAGCTATCTGGCGTTCAGCCTCATTACAATCAAAACGAAAATGCAGTTCGCTTAACAAACACAGGGCGAAGACGACAGGAAGACAACATTAAAATGCGTTCTACATAGCTCAAGTACAACCACATCCTGGTACGACACGTAGAGATGTTTTAACTGCCGGAGGTCACTCGCCGACGTGACCTGGACATATGACCTTCACGGTGGGCGCAACACTGATAAATAAGAAGAATCTGGTAATTTCAGGTCGCAAGCAAATTCGTTCCCCAGCCATTTCCAGCAGGCTATGGGAAGCAGATACCTGCCTGTGTCTATGCGAGAGCTTAGTAAAACATAGCTTTGTTACAAGAACAAAGCCATAGCAGGCCATCAGCCCTAGCTATGCCTGCTCTCAATTCGTACCGCGAAAGTTCAGTACGATGAAAATACGTCCAAACTTTTTCACAGTTTTGTTCTCACTGACCTTAAATAACTGCAAAGGGCAATCCTGACCCTGGGGCTATGTGCATTCATTTTCTGCGCCTGATCAGGTCAGCAGATCAGGATCACGTCAGGTCATCCATTGTGCACGTCGTTCAAATGCACCGGCTGAATCAGCTGGCGCAGGACCATTCTCATCATGTCACGGACACGTTCGATTTATTGGGCAGCGTGGCGACACCCGACATCGCTTCCTCCTTGACTTGACACGTTCAGCTCCCCAGATAACGTGGTGAGTCATGCACATCGGGCTTAACCTCTGACCAGACTTCACAGGTAACCTGTCACGGTCACTGATGCGCCTCTTAATCGCATGGTTTCGCGCACCAAGAGCTATCGCCGCCTTCCCGCTGTCATGGCAGACCTATCTCCAAAGATAAACGCCGGAGATGCCGAAAAACACCAATTCAACCCGGCCAAGCCGGTTTGACCAATCGAAAGCCAGCGGCACCGAGGTTCCATGACACTTTTCTGACGCCGTTTTATACGAGCTCACCGATGACGCCTCCCGCTCAGATCTGGCATACCGTCGTTGTCTAGCATATGTTCCGCTGTGCATGAAGTGGGTGGGTCTGTGATGCCTCCCGCCCGCCCGGCGGAGGAGACCAAATTGCCGCCCGGGGAGGGATCAACGGACTGCGTTATAGAGTTAATTTCCACTTTCCTGACATGAACAGGGGACTGTTATTCCTGAGATAATGATTTGACTCCGGTAAGTCTCCAAACAACTGAGATATTGCCGCTTTAGCACTTCACCTTCGGCAGTGACGCCATGGACTAAAATACCGCAACAGTTGTCACTAGGTAGCACCCCTCTACGACCGGCCGTGTTAACGTCAAAATGTGAAGCAATACTGCAGCGGGGTGAAAAACCTGGGAAATAGAGCATTGCCATTTGAGTCACAAGAGCATGCCACAACTTTGGGACCATCCATAAATAACGTTTCTCATGGAGAGGAGAGGGACCTGATGGAGTGCATCGAGAGCACGACACGGGAAGGGGCATTTGCGGCAGCGTAACGTTACGTTGAGGGGAGAGCGGTTTGATGGAGCGCATCGAGAGCACAACACGGGAGCGGGAATTTACGGCAGCGACGCTACGTTTACAAGTGGTTGAAAATAATGCTGAAATATTTCAATGCCTATTAAAACCTCAAAGCCAAGAGACGTTGGATTCCTGTCATAGACAGGAACACTCCCGCTCGCGTCACTGCCTCAGTGGGGGGGGGGGGAGGGTAAACGGACGCTACTTTTCGGCACGTTGCCCTTATCACAACGCACCAGGGGAGCGGTTTCGCCAAGCGTAACCAGTGCGTAATTAGGGAGGGAAGGTTGGAAAATGGCAAATAAGCGTAGTACAATGCGTGGACGATCTTTTCTACAAACTTTGCTCCATACATATTTTTGATAAGACTAAAACTCTTTATCTTCCAGAGAACGAAATTTCTGTGACTATGACCTACAGGGACTAAATCCCACATGATTATTTCTTACATGGTGGCCTAAACATGGTATCTTCATCTGTTAATACAGTGACACATCAACTTAATTTTGTTTAGCATGGCAAGGTGGTGTCATGTTATGTATCAGCTCTAGCATGGCAATCCCATAACTTTTAACAAAATACACAATATCAGCACATAGGAGTCTCCTGTGAGACCAAAATAATCTGAAAACACATTATGCTGCTGCATGTATGGTATGTGCAGCACAAACACAATGCTAGAAAATATGTTGATGTCAGAAGAAATGTTCAAGAAAGGACTTTGGATAAATACATCTACTTTAGGATTTAGCAGACATCTACTTAAGCACTGTCTGTTAACATTTGCTCTGGCACACAATTCATCAGTGTTTGCTAGAACTTGGAGGCAGATTCATTTATAGTTCATTCCCCAGTGAGCAAGATTGCTAATCACAGCTAGTTGCATCAGTACAGCACAACAAACAAGGCCACAATTCAGTAACAACTCTGCTGTCTAATGTCAAATTAGTATAGTAAGCTGTATCACCTTAATTTTTAGACATAGTATGCAAGGCCACCATGGTGAATGTCTATCTCATCTGGAAAACTCAAACATCAATCATATGTGTCAACTGTTTTCCAGCTCACTGTGTTGGCCACTTCAAAAAAGATGTTTTGGGCACAAATCCCCAGGTGTGTCCAAATGCAATAACAATGCACATGTACACATACAAACCATGCATCACACATGTCTTCTATTTTGGCACTCCAGCATGGCAGTCTTTAATGCTTGCCCTTTGTTAAGATCTGCCAGAGCATACATACATACAGTTGGTCAAAAGCCAATTCATGTGTCCCAGTGGACAGGGCCATAAAGAAACCCAGACATGTCTAGGTCCCCACAGGAAAAATTGATATTCACTGGTCAAAAAGGCACCATGAACTCTGCACTCCAGTCTTATGGTGCAGGCAACAAATTAACTAAATCCCAATGTAACAATTTGCATGATTGTGACACCTCTAATTTTGTGATTGTTGAGTCCAAGGGACCACTCCTAAAACATGCATGACATGCATGCATGTTATGAGTTTAGGAATTATTTGACACAAGTGAAGGCTACCTAGTTGCCCTATCAAGATCACGTGCTATAACTGCTAGTACAAATCCATTGTCTTCACACTCAGGTCATAATAATGCAATGTCCTCATGTAATAATGCTTCTCTTGTGATTTCAAGATTACAATTATACTGGCAAATGGCATGCCACTTTTCAAACAACAAGGAAATGGCATCCAGGTTTACAACACAAAAGGTGATCTGAAATTCAAGATCATGTTCAATTGGTGCCACCCAAGAGGCTCGATTTCACACTACCGGTCCTAGTGTCTCAAAAATGGATTAGGTAGTTTAAATGCTTGTGCCACATGGCTTTCATTTCCACCCATGGCACACTTTTGCCTTAATAAGAAATTATGCAAAAACTTGCCACAGTGCAGTGTCACAGCTCACCAGGTGTGGTGGAGCCCAATAGCACTGTTTGAATACCAAACTTGACAAAATCAGTTCATAGTTCATGCCACATGAGTTATGCAATGTGTTCCAATGCGAACTCATGAGGACTAATGCCAATGTTACTCAGAGCACCCCATCATTGCTACAATATAAAAGGTTAATGAACTGTTCTCCTTCCTCCATCAGAGGCAATATGTTCCCAAAAACAGTAGTGAAAAATGATGGTGTGCCTCCCACTCCAACACAAACCTTCATATTACACACAATTTTGGCGGACTGATAAAACCTATATCCCGTAATCAGAAATTATAGACAAGCACCAAACTCACGAACATAGGTATCCAGGACAAACTGCGTGCTTTAAAGCAGACTACAGACATACACACACTGCTCTGCTGCTGGTTAGCACAGTCTTAGTCCTGTAACATGACTGTCTTTCTAATTCAGGATGGCATGCCCTCAGTAGCCAAAGGCTATTTTTGATGTCACATGTGATATCACCTGTACTCACGTAGACCGAGATGCCAACTGGTCAGTGTATAATTGCACATTTTCATTCCACTCCAGTGCCTTCATTATCTGAGATCATGAAACAGCACATATCCATAAGGTGTTTTTGAATTTTTCAGAAGCCTCTTTACATTCCAATACACTGATTGGTTTTCAGAACTGTAATGCTTTAGGACAGTCATTTACTTAACATAGGTCATTTGTTGGGATTAAGTGGAACTCTATCAATGAAGCTCATCACTTAACGCTCCAGTGGGGAACGTAGTTGACTAAGCTAAGTTGTAGGCAAAACCTATAGTTTTAGCAGCTCATTTGTGTCCTGAAATCCTGAGACAAGTGGTATCTTGATTGCTAGTAGAGCTTTGGCCGCTGACGCAATGTCATAATTACGAGGTAGACAAGACACTGATACTGAATGCATGAAGATGGGGAATATGAACAAGATAAGCCCAGATGATATCACGAGTTTTTACATCCCCAGAGGTTTTCAATACACTGGAGGCCCTTTGGAAAAGTCCTGTCTCATGAAGAGAGTGCAGACTTTGTTAAAATGTAAGTCCATTGGAAGCACATTGAGGTGCAAACCACAGGAAATACTTTCATGCCATAGAAATTGCTCTCACATCCCCTTCACTACCAATACCAAATCTGAATGAAGGCAAAAAGTACCTGAACAGTTATCAGTATAGAGCAAACTTACTTCAGCAACTCCGTCTCTTTCAGAATCAAGGGTTAAACGTAATATGTGACATTGACATTGACATATCGTGGAAAATTACAGGCAGGTGGATGGGTGCATCTGGCCTAGGATCTCTGATATGAATGATCCATAACAGAGCATCTCCACCCATTTTACACACAAACTTCTCAAAACATGCATATCAATGTCTGGCCTGTGGAAGGACCTCTCTGGATTAAACAAGACCCCTTAACCTTGCCCACATATCCACCAAATACACTTATCAAGATCTCTTATCCACCAATTTATATAAAATGATGGTGCCATGCAATCAAACTATTGTTGCAGTCTGTCATATCACCTTTGAACCCAGCCTGACGCCTAAAAAATTATGATCTTCACAGACATCAGTGTGGAGCAAAGCAGGTTTGTTGCAAACATGCAAACTCTGGCACTTGAATCTACAATCAAGCTGACAAAAATATTAGTCTCCTACCTCCCAGCTATCAGTAAGTGGGTAAACAGGTGCATAGGCAGGTACATAGATGGGCTAGGAACTGTCATGAAGTGCTCCTTGAAGATGCATTGCACTTACCTAAGTAAATATCGCCGAACGATCCACTGCCAATTTTTCTACCTAATCGATACTTGTTGCCGACTCTGAGCTCCATTTCTGCAAAGAAATGAAATCATCAAAACCTTTCACCCACACTGACTAAACAGCTGATCGTCGGCCATATTGAATACCACAAAGAGATAGGTAAGTACACAAAGGGAAGTCTACCTCTGCTTTTTTCTCCGTTGCCCGGTCTCCGGGTCTTGCGAGCACTTGAGAACAACACCTTGACTTCTAAATTTGGACCCTGAGTGCCTCGATCATCCCTAACACTGCTATGCTTCCCACACACGCATCAAATCCTCCAACCCCACGCACTGGCACGATACAATGCCAAGAGGGGCATTCATCAAATGTTTCTAAAAATCCTTCATAGATGGCGCTGACATATTTCATGTACGGATATTGTGTAACACGGTACGTGGGAATGTGGATTGAATCGTAGGGTAAACTCTGCCGAAAACAACAATTATAAGCCTCCATTCCTGATAAATTCCTTAGATCTCTTTGGAGAGGCTTTATTCTTAGAATGAGACTGGGACCCCAGGATAAGCTATCATCGGCGGCATTTTTTCGTAAAGAACATCCCATGAATCGGCAAGAAACTGGATCTTCTGCGAAATGATTGAGAGCAGATATGCCATCTGAAAGCGGTTCGTGGATGGCTTAGCCAACTGGGTGGCCTAACCCACCCAAAAACCTAATCCCGTGGATTGAGGCCACTTTAGTTTGCGTCTCGGGGATTCTGAAATTTTAAAAATATTTTTGGTCGGTTCAAAAAGGTAATTGCTGCGAAGGAAGCAACACACTCAAGTTCGCAACGGCAATTGCCTATTGCATTGCATTGCACTTTTTTAGTTTTTAAGTTGCACTTTTTTAGGTTTTTAGTAAATTACAAGCCATCGCGAAGGTGCAATTATGTGAGAAGATTACAATGGCCCAGCCAACATGTCCAACTGGGACCAACGTGAATCTGAGATGGGCAGCCATATGGGGCCCATCTGGGCTATCCACTTCGGTCCCATGTGGACACGTCGTGGCAACTAACTGGATCCCACATGGGCAGCACACCTGGAGTAATGTGAGGTCCAGATGGCACCCACATGGGGATGCCTGGGTCGCTCAGTTCACCTGGCCCAGGTGGAACCATATGACCACCCTAAAGCGGCCCAGCTGGGCACCAGCGAGCAGTCCTTGCAGATCCCATGTGATTAATGAACTGCCCTTATTTCAGGCAGACTGCTTTGGATTATTATTAATAACCCAGATCAAGGTTCATTCACCGCGTGCTTGCCCGGAATCGCCTCGCCATGGCATCGTCGCACAAAACGTACTCTTCTTTGTTCTCATGTCCGATGCGACGATCCCCAGTCCATTAAGCGGACACTCGTTACGTTGCCGTTGTGGCCGTTACGCTGTCGTTGTGGCCGTTATCAGGGTGGTGTCTCCTGCCGCCGTCGCAGTCTCTTCTTCTGAAATAATTTTCCTGACACCACCCCCGCCCCGTTGCGGGAAAAACGTGGCTCGCTGTGTTGTCCCAGATGGTACCTAAGAAGCAATTATCTTTCCCTCGGATCGGCACTCCAGGTCCTGGGTATGGATGTGAATCCAAGTACACGGTTTGTAGCAATGAACTTTATGTTCAGTCTCGTACCGAGTCTGATTATTAAGAGAGCAGCTATGTCGGACACCAGGGGAAGAGCTCGAGAGAAATAAAAAAAAAACATGCCCGCGTTATGAGAACAGTTATATAGAATACCGGTGCAAAACTGTAAGTAAGGTAAACCTTGCAACGCTTCATGGGTCACATAACTTGATCCCAAGACCCAATTTGAATGCACGCTCGCTGAGTTATTCTGAATTTTGCACTTGCTCATTGAGGCGACTCGTTTTGCCGAGATGTGGTGGAGATAAACTGCTCAACTACACAATACTCTGCATGCACTCTCTTCAGCTTACTGGCACGGAAAACGTCATGTCAGCTTATTTGCACGGAGTACTTGCATGAAAAGCTGACAGAGTTACTTCTGCTCATGGTCTCATTGGCAACGTCATCAGGCTGTTAACGGCAACCATTTCTGAGGCAATCAAGGGTGGCGTTTGCATTGTATTAGAGAAGTATGGTGTTATCATTCCTCTATACGCTCATATCATATTGCGTCGATAAATCATTTGGCTTGAGCGGCTGCGTTTGCATCCTCACCCATGAAAGAGTGAGTTTGAGCCACCTTAGGCACTCGCCATTTCCCCCTGCTTTGGATGGTCTGCAGCAGGGAACGGAAAGCTGCTTGAATTTCCTTCAGTCAACAAATATTACGTTTTCTGCTCGATGTCGACCGTTTGCGGAGCGATCGTCAGGCCTGGCCTCCTTCTGGAGTCCAATCTTGCATAGAACCGTGCGCATCGGTATTCTTGCATCAATGATGTGCTGTCCATTTCACCTTTGTAAAAGTAAGCTTGACGCTTGTTTGCAAAACATACAGCACAGGTCTAATGTTTGTCAGGATAAACTACGTAGGATATAAAGTTCGCAACAACAAAAGCTCGTAATGGCAAAATACGCATTGATAAAGATCATTTGGCAATATGCTCGTCAGGAAAAACGATGCAACCACAATTTTGTATAACGCACAAAAGTTCATATGGAGAAAGGTCGTAAGCAATTTTTGTGCCGAACTTTCGAGCGCAAATGTTAGCACAACAAACTCACATATGTCAAAAGTACGTAAACATGAGCAGTGCCGTCGCAAATCATGAGTAGAGCCCCCACGCAGTACGCGTCGGCCTACTGCCTAGGGGCGGACGAGGTCCGACCACGGCCAGGGCCGCGACTCTGCACTGCTTACACAACGCGAGCGAGTCCGACTATCTTGTGGCCAAATAAAGGTAACCTTCTTACTGATATTTTTAATGGACAGTGAAAAGAAGAACGCGGATCTACGAAGTGAAGCGTTGCATTGGTGGTTCAGACCCGGATCTGCTGGGCTAAGCGGATCTTCAACGCCTGACAGACTGCTCATCTCAACCAACGTACGGCTATTGAATTACAGGTTCCTACCCATGCGAGTCATACAAGTCGCTGGATCGCCGGAAAGGAACTAGATTATTTGGCTTTTGGCACCTGCACCTGCTGGAGGATTTGTTCTTATCTGGAGAACAGGAGGAAAAAACGAAAGTACCTCCGCGCTTGTCACGATCTAAGCAAGCATGACTTCTGTCTGCTGTGTGACATTTGCGGTATATGCAACTGCGATCATATCACCACCTCCTGTTCCGCCTACCACCGTTGCTCCTGTGTTCCTTGTCTCGAACGCTGTAGTGGCTTTTCCTCTGCAAATCCCTCAGCAGCAGACCTTGCTAAGCTGTTGGAAAAACATTACCAAAACGTCGAGCGCCACTGCGCAGCATACCTCCGTCAGGTCAAAAATCCTACCCTCTATCACCCGGACTATCAAGCACCAAAAGTTCCGTTGATATCGATCAGTGAATATGCTACAAAAGGGAACCGAAGACCAGCGATAGGGAGAGGAAACTCGGTTTATGTTAAAACAGGGGCGGGAAGATCATCAAACCGCACGATCTCACCACCTGCTCGAGAAAAAAGAAGTGAGCGCAGCTGCCGACTTCTCCCCGCTTCCAAAGCACGCAACACTTCGAGTATCTCCGCCTCTGCCAATCAGGCAAGCGCTGCACCCGCCTCTGCCGACCCGGTAAGCGCAGTAGCTCCAGATATTTCAACAGAAGAGGCGATACAGTTTCCGGATGCTGAACCCGAGCCCGACGCGCAGCCTCCCACCTACGAGCACGAGGGCCAGGACTGGTGACCTAGTGACACGTCAGGCTACTCACCGTCAGTGTGGCACGACGCTGACTCTCTTTCCTCCATTTCGCAATCCCCTCCAACATCGTGGTACACACATCTCAGGAGATCATGCTACCGGACGGACTCTCGTATTCGGCAGAATTTTCACACAGTGTGGCAAAAGGCCTGAAGAATCTATATGACCTTTTGAACACGAACTCCATCATTACCGGTTTTGTACACTTTGACGTTTTAAACGCTGGAAATTTGTATCAATGAAAGGCTGATATGGATCGCATCCATCAGGAATACAACGGTTAGGACAAAATCACTCTCACTGCTGCAGGACGCTCCACTGCTGCTCCACTCAAAAATTGAGCGAACCCGTGCAGTCATTTTACGAACACCTAAATCAGGTAGCTGCGAAAGTGTACGGAAGCGATACAGGCAACCCAGACAAACAAAAGCCCTGGCCAATTTTGTTATGAACAGACTTGTGGAAAAACAAGCAGCTAAAAAACTGCTCTGTCAGCAGCCCTTGACTCTGAACGCTGCATTAGATATCGCACTCATGGAGGACAAATTTTACAGGCACATAGAAATGCGGGACAGAGAGGAGCCAATGAAAATCGATCTGGTCAAACGAGTCACAAACCCTTTGCAGAAAAAATCGAACAGCTTACGGAAGCTATCATAGTTCTAGCAGTTAACATGGAGCAAGCGAATCAAATGCAAGTACCCCAAGGAGTGCAACCGCAACAGGCGAACCAGTACAGGTACACGTCTCAAAACCCGTACCAGAAACGTTTCATGCCGCACCACCCCTCTGGACAAGGTAGGCCATATCCATCACCTCCACGAGATTTTCCAGGGACACAAACCTATCACGGACCAGATGCAAAAAGATTTCATTGAGCAAACCTGGCACGACCTAGATATTCATAGGCCCATTTGTCATTTTTGCCACTTTCCGGACCACATGCAACGCGTGTGTCGTAAATATGCCGCACAACTACGTAGGCAGACCCCGCAACAAGGCGAACGGAAACGTTCGAAACAATAGTACGACCTCCATCCAGTCGAGCATGAGAAATTTGTAACATAGATGTGAACAAGAAATGTCCCTTCATAGTAAAGTCAAAAAACATGTTTTACATTCTTGGATGGAGGAGCTCCATTTTCGCCGGTGAGCGATGAATTCCTAGAATTATTCGACGACGCTTTCATGAAGGAAGCATGTTAGGAGAAAGATCCTTAAGTATCTGGTTCAGGCCACCGACTTAAAGTCACAAAAATGGTAAAAATTGGAATTACCTCGGGTAAAACCCGAATGCATCATTCAGTCTGTGTAGGGACTAGATCTCGACGTGGTTTTAGGTGTGAACTTTCTAAATGAAAGAAAAGCCCTCCTTGGCTTGGACAATTAGCTACTAAAAATAGGCAAAGCGTGTTTTTCACTAAAGCAAAAGCAGAACTCCAAGAAAAGGAATTAACATAGTAAAACTGGCAGAAAGCATTTATCTGCATCTTAGATCA